CATGATTACTTGGACGAGGACCATGTTGAAGGCGTCACGGACGTCCAAGGACGTCACCACCGCCACCTCCCTGGTTCTCCGGGTCCCTCTCATTGCCACTTCGGCCCTGGCGTGTATTCTTTCTTCCTGTTCCCCCTCCTGAAGCCGTACTGCCTAGCCGATAAAGTCAACATTTCCGCCAATCTCCCGGCCAATATTCTTTCAAACAACTTGCCTAAGTGGCTCATAAGTGGTCTGACCGATCCCAGGTCCTTTTTGGGGATCAGGACTATTTTTGCGCTCTTCCACTCCGTCGGGTAAATTCCGGTGGCCAGCACCGAATTGAAAATCGGCCTCAGTACCTCCGGGCGACGCACGCAACGAACTCCGGTGGGAAACCATCCAATCCCGGCGCCTTCTTTCTGGACATCCTCCTGGCCGCCGTCCTAACCTCATTGTCACTGATCGGTTGCTCCCGCTCTCATCGTTCCAGCTACCTGCGGCCCTCTCCTGTCTCGGAGACAAATGCCGTATCTTTTCAATCATATCTTCATCGCTGCCTACCACTCTCTGTCTCTTCCCCAGCTTCCCGGACACAATTTTATACGCTCTACCCCACTGGTCACTCTCCAGCTCTGCACACAGCTGCCTCCAGCACTGCTTTTTACTTTTCTCCAGGGCCGATCTATACTCCTGTACTCCTCCTCCTGTGCCCTGCTATCTTCTCCAAGTCTCCTATTTTTCTTACTGACCGCCCTCTTTGCACTGATACACAGGCCCCTTTTGGGCCACCTCCCCGTTTCACCAGTACAACATACCTACTGTAAGTTTTTTGTCATTCAAGATTACTACAGACGTATTTAACTCGCTCTTTTCGCTTTTATTAACGATCCTCGAGATCGTTTATAATTTTGTATTGCTGTCTGTATGTCTGTTCGTCCGTCCGTCTGTCTGTCCGTGTGCACGTTAACTTTGTGTAGAAACGTCCGATGGCTTTGCAAATTGATACACATGTTCTTCGGGATATATGTAAAAGGTCGCTATTGTTTTTTGACTACGTAGACTAACGGGCCAAAAAGTTACCGCCCAAAAACTGCCCAAACCTCCAAAAAGGGTTTCTCTTATAACGCTTGTTACAAAGAACATATGAATCTCCGGTTTTCTGTGTTAGTAAATATTTCTTAAACTTCGGCAACTATGCAAATGCAAAAAAATATTTTTTTTTGTTACGATATTTAATGGACATTTTGTATGTAGGCATCTCGAATAAAAGGCAAACTGATACCGATCAAAACATTTGTTTTGCGCATGCGCAATCCGATTTTTTTACATCTCCGTTAGTTGTGAACCGAATTGCATGAAATTTTATAATATGTAAGCACCTCAAATAAAAGTAAAACTAGAGCCGAATCAAAAAATTTGTTTTGCGCATACGCAGTCGTTTTTTGTTATTTGTTAAGATATTTAGATGAAATTGTGTAAGGCACCTCGAATAAAAGTAAAACTAGTGCCGAATCAAAAAAATTGTTTTGCGCATGCAAACTAATGCCGGTTCAAAAGTTCGTTTTACAAGCCGTGCTGATCTGGTGGGACAGAATCAACCCCTTAAGGTGTATTATAAAAATGATGTATGTGTGAATATCTCGAGGATCGTTTGGTATTCAGTTGTATCGTATTTTTTTAATTTATTACAGTGACCCGCTTCATTCACTCATCCCGAATATACACGTACTGCAGCATAAATATTACTCAATTTAAATCTAAAATAAATTGCATTTCGAAACGCGATTATTACATTATGCTGCTAATTCCCCTCTAGCTTCCTTGCGGTTACATAAAAACCAACTTGCGTTATGAATAGCTAAATGAAATAATTAATTTCCTGACAATGCTAAAGCGGACATTCGCTCATACAAAGTTATCGTTGCGTATCTACTTTCAAATTATGGATTTTGACTAAAATGTACATACGTACATAAGTTTTGTTACATATTTTTATTACATGGCCGACTATGTAGAAAGTTCTTGTATTATGTTCAGAATTGAGAATGTGCTCAATCTGTACTGAACACCTCGTTACATTACCAGAGTCAGAGATGAGTGTTGTAAATGAAATTCGGTAAACTTCGCCGCATCAACAAATATTGGTATATAAAGATAATATCGATTTGTCGATGATGAGTGTAATACGCGAAACTGTCAGAGCAGCCTCTGGAATCAGGGCTGATACCAGATGACATAATGCGGTGTTATATCAATAGCAGATATAGTCTTCATGGCGGTAATCATTAGCGGAAGAACGCCCAAAAACTTAACGTCTAAATTGTAGGGTGCAAGAAAAAAGTGAAAAATTTCGCTATGGTATTTCGCTTTTATTGAACTTCTTACGTAGATACAAACGCTCATAGAACGTATTTTTCTAGCAAATACGAATATTAAAATGCATTTTTCAGTATTTCCGCGAGTTAAAATTGCAACTCACGGATCATGTTTTCATTTTACTTTTTCCTCTAAAACGGCTGCATTATTAATTTACATAAATCTTTAATTTAAGTTGTCTTGAGCGACTCTGTATCCGAACTACGCTCTTAGAGAATGTAAAATTTGTATTCTTTGTATTCTCTCAAAAAATTATCTAGATGGAAGACGGAACATGGAAAGTTTCTGGTTTGAATATAGACGATCTGAAGTTGGAAATAAGCACTTAAAACCAACTGATCCAATGTATCCTTAATAAGCGTAAACTGCTATACAATTTACATCCTGAATATAAATGCTTAGTATTTCTACACATCGAAAATAACAATGCAAACAATTATGAGAGAACAAACTAGGTTACCGTTTACATAATTGTATTTGTATATCGAAAACCAACTTTGAACTCGGAGCTTCTTGATTCTGCGGAATGCATTAGCAATTATGAAGAGCTATACTATAAATGATAAATTTTGCATAGTTACCGGGAAAGTTGTGCAGTAAGGACGAAATTTAGAAATTGTGTACATAGGCGACTGCTAACTGAAAATTAGGTGTAAAATACAGCACATACAATTTTCGCAAAGCGTTCCCCTTTGCAAAAGTTTAAAAGGACATATTTACAAAGGCTCTGTTTACATTTTACTTTGCAATAAAAAGTACAAACAGTAAATAAATTTATTTAGATTTGTATTCAACTCCATAAAGCAATTCTACCTTCAAATAATTTTGAGACGGAAGTGTGTGTTTTGGAAAATTGGCTTTTTATTGACGTTAGACTTTTCTCGCGTCTTAGTTCGTTACACTGACTGCTGACAGATTCGTGACAAATATATTACGATTCATCCTGTACCATAATATGGTATGTAATCTTTCTTCTAGGGGATTAACAAATGCCAATGCCAAATCAATCGTAGTAGCTCGGTGAAACACCGCCCAATTTTGATTTATTTAACACAATAGACTTGCATGGTACTTTTTGTAAGTGGGCCCATTATAGACTTACAAAAAACAATTCGTACCTTTTTGATCAGACTTCTCAATAAAAAGTTATATACTAGAAACCAATTTCGAAAGAAAATTCAAAGGTCTGTAACTTTTGAACTAGTAGCCCTAATCTTGGAACTGTTTGAAATTATGGATTCTACAGGCCACATTCTATATGGAAATTTTTTTTCGGGTCGATCTGAGACAATTTTTTTTTCGAGCCTCAAAAAAAGGCATTGTATAACCTTTCTTTTTTACCAAAAATCGACTACACCAAAATTTCTCGGGAAAACACTTTTTCTTATTAATTTTGGTGCGTAGAATCCAAAACAATTCGTACTTTTTCGATCAGACCTCTCAATCAAAAGTTATAGACTAGAAACCAATTCCGAAAGAAAATTCAAAGGGCTGTAACTTTTGAACTAGTAGCCCAATCTTGGAACTGTTTGAAATTATGGATTCTACAGGCCTCATTCTATAAGGAAATTTTCTTTTCGGTTCGATCTGAGACAATTTTTCTTTCGGGCCTCAAAAAAAGAGAGTGTATAACCTACCTTTTTTACCAAAAAACGACTACACCAAAATTTCTCAGGAAAACACTTTTTCTTATTAATTTTGGTGCGTAGAATCCAAAACAATTCGTACTTTTTTGATCAGACTTCTCAATAAAAAGTTATAGACTTAGGTTTATGGAATATTAAAAAACATAAATGACAGGTAATTTTACAAAAATATTTGTAAATTATGTAAAAAACATAAATTACTGACAATTTTACATCACTACTCGCCACAGAACCTACACGTGGGCTCCTCGCCGAGCCCAATGTTATGCAGGTGGTGTTGACCATCCAGTTCCCCGTAAGGACACCGGTTATCTTCCTAATCTGGCTTCTATTCAGTTTTAGATGCTTACCCAAGTAGCAAAAAGTTATGTTTTTAGTAGTGTAAACAGTTGTGGAACATTTTCCGAACATATGTAAAATGTTGGTTTTTACATCAAAAGTAATCATTTTTTATTTGTAAACAGCAGTTTTAACAACTGTAAAACAAGTGCATTGTAACAGTTTTGCACATGTAAAACATGCTACAAACCCGTGTTGAACATATGAAATTGAGGTGTCTTTTTACAGTGAAACATCAGTTTTACATCTGTGATAAACCTGTAAAACATGTAAAAAAACACATGTTAGACATATGAAATGTAGATGTTTTTTTTATAGTGAAACATTAGATTTGCATCTGTGATATCCTGTAAAACATAAGTAGTAATGATGTACAAACAATTTGATACACATGTAAAACATGTCAAAACACATGTTAGACATATGAAATCTTGATGTTTTTTTACAACAAAACATCAGATAAAAAAACATCAGATTTGCACCTGTGATAAACCTGTAAAACAGAAGTTTTAAGGATGTGAAAAATCTTAAATTAAAACCAAATCAATATCTGCTTTTTTAAATATAATTGTTGAATTTAAACAACATTGATATTAAAAGAATACGTAAGTATAAAAAATAATACAATGTTTAGCCTAATTCTATTGGCTAATACTAAACTAATATAAAATAAATTGTAATTTTAACTGTACACGGTATATTTACACATTCTCCATAGGATCTTCCTTCTCGAAATTTGATCTATTAACAAAAATAAAAAATTAACGTCTATGCTCATTATATCCATGTTGTCTTTGTATTGAAGTGATACTTAATGATGAGTGGTGAAATGTGTGTAGGTACTGTACATGCATTAAAAAAAGTAGGTACTAATATACCTATGAATGTACCTACGTAATAGAAAGAAACTTGTCAATTATTATAGATTTCTATACTCTTTACTATTCTATTTCTTTTTATTTGCACCAGTTAAATCAATTTGCTTGTGACTGTTGCGACTACACCTACTGACAATCAATAAGTTTTTGATAGGTATAATAATAATAATAATAATAGTAATAGATACATACAATAATTATTGACAGGTTTCGTACTGCACTGTACCACTACTGCTAGCAATAGTAAGTTTCGTATTTGAAGAAAAATACTCACTCTTCTGTAGGTGGAACAAGACTTCGAATGTGTGCAATGTAATTGGATACACTAGCTTCCACTCTCTGCACATTGGAAATTTTCCATATTTTTTTTAAAACTCCTATAAAAATCAACAAATTACATGATGAAATTTATGAAAGTAATCATTACGCAGCATTAATTGGTAGAGTTTTAACTCCACAAACGCCTTCTTTTCTAGTCTGTCCTTTCGTTTCTGGCCTTTCCATGAAAACTTTTGGAGTAGCGCCGGAGCCATCGTTAAACGAACAAAACTACGAGCCGTCTTGTTTTCTGATGACTTCTCTAACTGTGTCTCCAAAGCAGTAATCTATAAGAAATGTCAAAATTAAATTATATTTTATGAAAATCAAAATACTAACCACTGCATTACAAAACACATGATCGGAAGGTAATTTTTCTTCAAAGATATTTAGGTCTGCCATGGTTTGAATTGGAAAATACTGTAAAATGGCCTCGTTATTAGTATCATCGTCTAATTCATTGTCTTCCCTGTCCACCGTTTGTGTCTTATTTGCCGATAGCTGGTTTTGAAGTTCATATAAACTTGTTATTTCGGATTTTAGCGCTTTTAGGTTCGTTGACATTTTTTCGATGCTTCCTAATACACAAAGAAGTTAAAATTATACTGTAAAATGAGGAGCATGCATTATGAAACAGAATTATTTAAAAACTAGAACATTTTGTTTAAATAAGTATTAGAACACTTACGGGAAATCAGACACGCACTACGACCAAGGTTCAATAGATTAATCGTGTGATCTTGGAAGGCACAATGGTGGTACTGGCCGCTCGGTAAGGGACATTTGGTTGTTAATGCCACTTCGGTCAACGTCTGTTGTAGGGCAATTGTATGACTGAGGAAGCCGGGTGGAGGTGAAGGGATTTCGGCAGAGGTTGACGGAATTTCAGATAGAACGTGCACCCGTTTTGAAATCACTTGTGGTGACCCATTACTTTGACTGCTGCTATTCAAACTAGTCTCCGGTTCTGATGTGCCATAATTGTGGTCACTCCTTCTTTTTGCCTTCCTTTGCCCTCTACCTCGGGTTTCATTTTCTGACGACGACAACGACGGTAGGCCTCTTTGTAGGCGGATCATATCCGTTAAACTTCGTTCGTAGTTATCTGTTGATTACCAAAACAATTAATCATGTGATCAGTAGATATGCTAATTTGATTCATATAGGTAAGTGTGTGTCCATCATTGGACCAACAAACCAGTTTCATTGTGACAAAATTCGTATTATTAAGATCCAATGTAGGTTTTCATTATATTCTAAAGTGTGAATGAGATAAAATAAAGAAGCCGTTACAATTCATAATTTGAAAAACTGACTTACCATAATCACTTTTTATTATTTCAATGTTGTCTATTACGTCCCAGTCAGCTTCTGGTTCAGAACTCTGCCTTACTAGCCGATTTATTGTACCCATTGGTTTTGCTGTTGGAAAGAAGGCCCATGTTCCATTTCGTAACCATTTATTTGGAATTACATCATATTCGTCCATTTTTTTAATTAATGTCCATAATTTTGTATACTTGAAAAAAAACAGAATATACACAGTTGGAAAAATAGCATACAATGTTTTAATAATAGGACAAAACAAGGTTCTTCTAAAGATAATAAAGCACAGTGCTTTAAATAGGTACCAGATACAAGCGCTCTTAAAATTTAGAAGCAAACCTTAGTTAGATGATGAGTGTAATAATGGGAAGACCACAAATCCATTTTTATAAGTCAATCGAACATATTTAAACAATATATCTGAACTTGTCCAAGATTTTCTCAAGTTTCCTAATTTTTTAACTTTGTGAACACCTATTGAAGAGCTTGAAAAATTATTCAGAGAAAAGAAAGGGCCAGTTTCTTCAAATTTTCTACCAATTACAACTTGGGTTTTTGTTTCCGGTAAGTATGCAAAATTTTCAATTAAAACAATGTCCCCATTTTTCATCATACCACAACAGTTATCTGCTTGAGAATCAATTGCTAGAGTAAAATTTGGAAAAACTACTTTTCTGTATTGAGGAGAAAAAGATTGTGCAGGGAGTGGTCCATCAGTATGAATCCTGGTATGAATTGATCCAAATTTAACTTCACATGTTGGTTGGACAAAATATTTTTCATTAAATATGGAAGATGTGAATAATTCAACTATCCTACGACTAATTTGTTCCAGTGGTTTGGATTTTCCCCGTACTAATTTTTTTATTGTGTATAAATAATTTTCGAAGGAATACGCAGATATGTCATAACATGAAAAATTTGGTATCAATTTTATAAAATGGTCACAATCGTCCACAATATGAATTAAATTGTGAAAATTATGGGAAATATAACGTTCATGATATATATTTGCAAACTGATATACAAAGTGTCTAATAAACGGCGGGAGTAATTACGATTATTAACTTCTTTGCATAGAAGTGGATTAGATAATATAGTTATGGCAACATGAAACATTAAGAAGTTCTGATAACGACTTTCCTGTAAAAAATCTTTTAAAACAACTGGACCACAATATAAGAGAAAAGAGAAAAGAAAAGTTCAGTAGCTTTGCAACGCAATAAATCCTTTAGCTCTCTTGGGCGACGGCGAATTTTAAAGGAATGCATGATCGTAACATTAGTAATTTTTCTGATATTCCCTTACGTTGTGCAATTGACAATTGGTGTGGAATTCCTCCACTATTCCACAGTAATAAAAGTGCTCTCATAATTCCTAAATGTAACAAATGCATAGGGTCTAAAATAAAGTCAGATACAAAGTTTAATTCTGAAATTGAAATCAAAGGAGTATCTCGATTTGGTGGATGATAGTAAGAATCTCTTCTTTCGCGAAAATCTTCACTAGTCCTTAATACACAATCTAAATCCAATAAATTTATAAATAATAAATATATAAAATTATAAATCTAAATAACCAACGAGGCAGAGAAAAATAAAATGTGACATCGAATACCAGCCTACTAATTTTACGTTGCAATTAATGCTCGTAGTAAATAAACAATAAACATAAATATATGGATTCTGCTTACATTTGACGATTTCATCTTCTTCGGCGACATATTTACACTAAACTTCCACTACAATTAAATTTGAAAATCACCGACACTGTATCTGTAAAAGCTGCAACAACAATTAAGAAGAGTGAACAAATAACATTTCAACCCAAGAAAGGGATACTAATCCCTTCCCTGTGACTCAACGACCGGTTGGCGGTAAAGATACCAAAACGCATACCTTCTCAAGGCCAAACTGTACCTAGTTGTTTGTTTCAAATTACTGCAGGCTTTGTTTATGAATAAACAATGCTACAGGCTCGACAAACCGCATTTATTTCAATTAGTTTGAAATTATGAATTCTTGTGCAGGAATGTTTTTCTAAAGGTAGATTTCTGGATTTCTCGGTTTATTGAACACGAATTGACTACTAAGAACCCCGCAATTATTATAGTACATAATTTCAATGATAATGTTTACATTAAATTAACCTTAGCTTTCCCAATGTAGGGACCAACAAATGGCATTTTTTCTAAATAACGCGTTTTGAAAATGATGGTAAATAGGTACCTTTATCTATAAGAATTGGTCATTGTTAAATAAATGTTTATATTAATATAAACAAATGCAAAATACCTGTTTTGAATGAATAAAGTAAATGTTTTACAAACAGGAATGGTTCCTATAAAACAAATGTTTCGAATAATGAAAACAGATGGAAAAAATATATTTTACACGAATAAAATATTTTTTTTTCAAAAGAAAATTGCCGCGATAAAACAAATGTTTAAAATTAGAAATACCTAGGTTTTACACAACTAAAATACCTGATTTACACAAAAATAAACTAATGTTTAAAATAAGAAAAACACTTGCACGGAATATGTTTTGCAGCTTACATACCTCTGTTTTACGGCTTTACTTTCTCAATATTCTTTTTACACATTTTAACATCTGTTTTATTAATGTGAAACTAATGTAAACCTGAGATTTTTTGTCACTTCGGTAAAACATAATTTTTACATGACTTTGACATAAGGTTGACATCTGTTTTTGCTACTTGGGTAGAAGACCCTGATTTGCCAAGGGACCCTCCCAAAAAGGCCTTGGACTGTCTGAGTCCTGTTAGTTGTTGCCATGAGCCTGGAATTGACTCACCCAGTTTTTAATCCTGACCCTGACAACAAATGGAGCAATCCCCAGGGTAGATTCACCTAATCTATCTAGAGTTCGCCTGCAATCAAGCCGATCGGAACCTGTCTGCTGACAGAACCTCTACGGAGGTTCCCCTGTGCACAGGTAATGATGGCTAACATCTCTGCCTGAAACACGGTGCTATGCTGACCTAGGGAGAAGCTGACGCTTGCTCTCGGTCCATCACCATACAGGGTGTCAATTTTAAAACTTGCAGTCGGCCATATTTTCCAAACTAAAGAAGATATTGAAAATCGCGCAAAATCGTTTCGGGGGTATCGAGGGGGAACCAGAATGACGTTATGAGAGACAACCCCCCACCCCTCTTACCGCCAGCCCCACCTCTTCAAAAATCCTAAATGGCAACCCCATACTTTTGTTTATGATATAGTATATACAGGGTGTATAATATTATTGTAAAATAAGATTCAAGTTGTGTTTTTATAAATTTTACTTAGAATCTTGGAGTCACGACTGTCTGCAGCTACCCGCGTGCATACCAAGAACCCTAACAGAATTGGCGCCCGAGCAGGGCCGTAAGGTGATACTGTCCCGAAGACCCATGAGAACATACCCTTCTCCAATAACGAAACAGGTAGAAAGCTTGACCAGGGGGATGGAGAAATTACTTGGCAGTCCAGATATGATGGAATTAAGGCCTAGAGAAAACACACCATCATAAAATTGTGTCTCTCCCCGGTGGTGACCACAGGGGCAAATCCAGCAGATGCCACTTCAACACTTCCACAATTAGATCCAAACGTTTGAATCAGGGTGTAGTTACGATGCTACCATCACCTCCAGAACACTTGGGGAGGACATGCGAAGACGTCACTCCATTAATAGGAGAGTTCGATCATCTTGGGATACAAAGGTTACCAAGGCGATCTGACCCTAAGGACTACGTGCCTCAGACCATCAATAACCAGCCCGAAAGTATTCCGTCATTGACCAGGAAGCAGCGTCGAAATAGAAGACGAATTTCCATTCCTATAGGTAATGGCACATGCTCGACTGTTGTCACCATCGGTGAGGGACACAAACTAATCATGACTAATAGCGATGGTGTGTTTGCTGTCGGTCTTAATTCCATCAAATTTGGACTGCCAAATAATGTCTCCACCGGAAATTCCCCTAGATCAAGGCTCATATTCGTGGTATTTGCAGATTGCAGGAAATGACAATAATTTTCTTATTGGCTGTATACCGCTTCAGCTTTCCTTATGTCAAAGTTCGTCTGTCGACGTAGTGTTCTTCGAGAGTACATACTGCGGACTAATATTGTAGTTTGTGCGATTGCAAAACGTAATTAATTTGTCATCGATAGAAAGCAACTCATATACCGCTCATACGAAGGCGGACTGTGCTTCCTTACATGGAATAAAATCACCTCCAACCACCTTCCAAATTAATCCCTTTCTTGCAGTTCTCAATCATAAAAATCAACAAATCTCAAATTCACCCCATATATTGCTGTGTGAAATGGCATGCGGTCACTACGCCACCCACAAAACACCTATCCAGATAGCACACAACAAATAAAATTACTTGCAATAACCAATTTGCATGAAACTCTTAAAATCGCTGGTCATTCTAAAATCCTGGACTCTTTCTAATACGAAACCGATACAGAACTGTTCATTTAAACACAACAAAAAGTTGTTTGATAATTGCTGCAATAAAAAGAGGTGACAATCCCAGCGAGAAAAATACTATCACAACAAAATGGCCAAAAACGAACCGCCAAAACAGGTTATTATTATTATTATGGTCGGTGTTTCTTGTGAGAACTCAGGTCTAGCCTGGTTAACTAATCGCACGGATTAAAATCAAGTAACGATCAGTGTCTGTGTCTGTGTCTGGTGAAGTTATGTAGGGTCCTAAAAAAAAAAAAAAAATTATTATTATTATCGGTGTTTCTTGTGAGAACTCAGGTCTAGCCTGGTTAACTAATCGCACGGATTAAAATCAAGTAACGATTAGTGTCTGTGTCTGGTTC